CATTGATGAATTTTCTGTTAGTGACTTGGATAGTGATGTTACACCAACACTACCAAAGAAAAAGAATTCTAGCTTACAAAGCTCTGAAGAAGAGTAAAGGCTGATTTTTATTTGTTTTTTAAATTATAGTTGCTATGAAGGTTATTTAAGTTTAAATTCTTTTATTGTTTTTATTTATATGCAACATTGTTAATCTGTTTGTTTTTTTACTTTTTTTTTATACTGTATTCGGTGTTAATTAATGTTTATGTTTTTGATTTTCAAAAATAAATTGAAAAAGTATTGTACATATAAGCATTAAATTGCCTTCAAAAATTAATAAACTCATCCTTTTTTTTCCCTTTAATCCTTATCTCATTTTACATGGTTATAAAGAACATATCCTCAACTTTCCCTTGCCTTCTTTAGCTTGATTTACACAGTTTACAGTTTAATTGAACATATCAAATTCATACAAAAATAGAAAGATATCTCATTTTACATGGTTTTGGTTTGCAAGATTTTTCTAGGAACATATCTACCATGTGAATTGAGGGATGAGTGTATATATAGATATGTAGTTATGATTAACATTGTTATCCATTTTACTTTCCTGGCTGTTATGTATAAATAACAAGGGAAAAAGTTTTTTGCCAAATTTTTTTGTTTTTTGCAAATCTCAATGTTTTGAGATCCTCTGAATAAAAAGAAAAAAATTCCATGGATGTGTGTGTATTATCTATTTTGCTTAATATCACAGGACAGGGTGAAGATAAAGAAGCAAAACTAGGCATGGTAGCTTATATATAAGAGACATTGATGCTATTTAATTTTGGGTGTGAAAGATCAAGGGGGTAGAGAGATAGAGCGTGGTCATGTGTCATATCTTGCAAGGGGTCAGACTTAATGAAGATTTTACTTGTTGTTAGCATTTATAATGTTTTCTAAAAATTCAGATTTTTGCTATTTTATAATAATTAAAAATATATAAAGTTTTTATAACAAAATCTCATAACAGATGGCACCATATACAATTTAAGTTAACCTATTTATTTTGATTAATAATACAAATGTTATTTTTAAAATAAAATCTCATAAAAGCCAGGAAAGTTATGCAACTCACTGCTAGATTTTTTTCTAATAAATTGATTTTCATATGTGAGTAACTATTTGACATCATTTTATAGACATTTATAATTTTGCCATAGATGCTATAATAATCTTATTAAATACATATAACAGAATTATATTTCATAGATTATATATAATTATAAGATAAATAAATATAGTAGGTCCTCAACTTAACAGATAACTGGGGAAGTGTGTCCACTATTGTCAAAATTTATTACATAATGATATCTAATGCCATTTAGAAAAGAATCAGCCTGAAGAGGGACATGAACCCACAACTCCTACTTTCCATGTGGTCACATTGCCAGTTACAGTATCCAGATCTCTGTCTGATCTTCACTTCCAAAACTATTAATTTAGATACAACCATACTGGTTATCACAGCATCAACTAGGGATGCCTTCAGCACCCATAGCCTATAATACCCTCCATAGCACTCAGACAGCTATTGCTTTACTCCAGCATGGTGTATACATACAAATAGAAACATTGCTTATTCCAATCTTCTGGAAGTGAGGATTGAATGGAGGCCAGGTAGTGTAATTTTCAATGTGACTGCACGGTAAGCAAGAGTTACAGGTTTGATCCCACTTCGAGCCAGTTTTTATCTTCCAGAGCCTTTTACGTTAATTATTAAATTTATTAATAGATGGTACCTAATGTCTACTTCTAAGCCAAATTAATTACATATAGTTATTAAGAGTAGCATTAATATAACTTGATATAATCAGCAATCGTTTGGCATTAATATTGAAAGATCAGGTTGTGCAATGTTTATGTTTTTATAATTTACTGTGTATAGAACATATCAAAATGTTTTTATAATGAAGTCGTTTTCAACCAAGGTGCTGCAACAATACCAAGAGTACCATGAAATATTTTGTACGACTATTACTAAATGTACAAAAAGCACAATAACTACAAGGTGTCACAAAAAGAAAAAGATTTACCAAGTTGGGATGCCACTATTGAACAAGATTGAAAAACATTGTTATAATGTACTTGTATAATTGCATAAGTACATCAGAAAGTTCTTGGAATTGAATATAATAAAACACAAAATCTGGTTGAATTATTTTTTATTTTTTGATATAATCTCCTCTTAGAATAATGCACTTATTCCAGTTGTGGCCTTCATTCAAGTAAAAAAAGCCAAATCATCAAGTTTTGCAAAATATCTGTTCACTGAAGTAATGACCTCTTCATTTGAGTGAAATTTCTTATCTTCTAGCATTTTCTTCAGGTTTGGAAAGAGATGAAAGCCACAAGGAACCAAGTCAGAAGTGTTTTGAGGAAGAGGATGGATTTGGAAGCAATAGTTGGCAAGTTTTTGCTGGGAAAAGTGGGCAGAATGCACTGATGCATATCATAATGAAAAAGAATTTTCTTCTTATTCATGTGATAGCTTTGCTCTGCAATAGCAGTCTTCAATTTAACAGATCATAATAATAAGAGATGAAATAACAATATTCTTTTTGAAGTAGTCAATAAGGATAATTCCCTTTGCATCCCAAATAAATAGAAACAATAGAGAAGTTGCAGTTGTCATTCAAACGTTAAACTTGTATGGAAAGCAAAAGCACACATTTGATGTTTGAACTCCAAGTAAAATATGATATGTAGCATGTTCACAACAATATCCCATGAGTCAGTTCACGATGTGAATATCGTGCACTGACTCATAGGATATTGTTGAAAAATGGTGGAAACGTTTAACAACAACGAATGTTACCAGCGAAGGTAAATAAACAAATTAAACTATTTTAAAGTATTTATAGGATGTTTAATAACACTAAATAATTATTTTTAATTAGCGTCGTGTCTCCTACTGATGATAGGACTACCTCATACTTTTGTTGAGGGATATAATGGCTTATGTAAATCTGAAAGCAGCTTGGAAATTTATTTTTAGAAAATTTACAAACGTATTATGCTATTGATGGTAGAAGATGCTGTGAAAGAACAAACCTACTCCTACAGAATTATGATAAGCTATTATGAAGACAAATATATGTAAATTCTATAGGCACATCACATCACTTGCAAAAAAATTAAATAATTAAATAATCTCTGGGTTAAAATTGTCTGTTTCTTTACAATATTATTCATAAACGCTTAAATAATCATTATTTTAATAAAATACGTCATAATTTTAACCCCAAACACAAAAAAATGAAGTTTAAGCTGATCTTCTACTCTCCATGCTAGATGATTACCAACTTTCTTAGAATTGTCAGATGGCAACATTCAAACATCCACAAAAACAATGACCGCAACCTCTCTATTGACTTTTCCCACTGAGGGAACAACTTTAGTCTTCTTTAGAGTTGATGATACTCAATGCTTCCCTTGATTAGATTGTTGCTTAGTCTCGGCAGTATTGTACTGGATGCATGTCGTGTCCACAGTCATGTACTGATGCAAAAATTTCTGTGGATTCCTCTGGTAGATGTCCAACCCTCCTTGAAAGTTGTTGCCCACATACATTTTTGTTTGATCATGAGCAAACATGTCACCTGTCTTAGAAATATTAGTCATGCCTAGTTCTTAGGTTAGGATTTTGAACACATTTTGTACACCCAGTCAGCAGAAATGCCCGTTACCCCAGCAATCTCCCACACATTCAAGTGGCAGTCAGCAGCACTATATTCATGGATTTTATCTATGTGTTTTAGGGTAACAGCAGTTGCAGGTCATCTGTTGTGAATGTTGTCTTCCATACTTTCTCAGACAAGTTCAAAAAGCATTACCTATTTGCTTACTATCAAATACGATGGGACAGACTCCAAAACTTGACTTAAATTGGCTTTGATCTTAGTGGCATTTAACTATTTCTTTACCAGATACTTTATTACAGTAAAAATTTCAATTTTCTCCATTTTTATTTTCCTGGCTCTGTTATATATTAATATAACAGAGGATAAGGATGGCGATTGATCATTAAAGACCCCCACAACTTTAATATTTTTGGACTCAAGTCACCTAGAAATGTTAAGAAATACAAAAAACTTCAGTTTTTTCTGAATGTATGGATGTTAGCAGTGTGTGTGTGTGTAGGGGACCACAATTTTGTTCACCTTCTTCAAAGCTTAATAACTCCTATACTTTTTGTCAAAAAAAAAAAATTCTGAAATTTTGCAGGGAGGTTTGTTTATTAGGGAGATTGTTGCTGTTAAATTTTGGTGATTATCTTTCCACCCATTGACCTATAAAGGAGGTTGTGTGTAACTCCAGTAGGGTCAGACTTAATGATGAGTTTACTCATTATTAGAATTTACAATATTTTGTAAAACCCATCCTTACCCTCAAAATTAAGCTTTTTGCAATTTTATAATAGTTAAAAATATAAAGTTTTTAATAATAAAATATCATAACAGATGGCACCACACACACAGTTTTAAATGTTTCCAGGAAAGTTAAGCAAACCATTGCTGGATTTTCTTTGTTGTAATCCATCTTCATTACTTCTGTAATTTGCCAGAGCACTTTCTATTTTCTCTTTGGTATCAAAATGTTGCAAACATGCATGACAAGTAGTGATGTTGGTTCCTGATGTCATCCAGTTTCATGTGGCTAACACTACTACCTATATGCAATTCCAAGAACTTTCCAAACTACTAATGTATCAATAAAATTTTATTATAATGTTCATTGAGTAATTTACATTCATTAACTCATCTTTTATCATGTCCAATTTGTGAAAAAAACAAGATTATAAATTTTTCATCCATTAAACTCAAAGTTCATTAAATTGAAGGTCTACTGTATTTATAGTATTTATAATTTTAAAATAATTATGGAAAATATTAAAGGCATGAATAATTAAACATAGCATATTTTAAAATAAATTTATCATCATCACTACATTAGTAAAATCTTTTTAGTTATACCTGTTACAAACTTTCATCGTTAGTAAAGCTTCTTTATTTTTACTACCTTCTTTTTTACTTTTCTTCCTATTAATTTTCTTATTCATATATTTAGTTGGTGGGAGTTTACTAGCAAAGTGTTGATACATCAAAGCTTGATAAGTATGAACAAACTGTGGCAAGGTTAATATACGATAAGATTCTATTCTGTTAGTTGAAGAATTAATCTGAAAAAATGAAGCAATGCAAATTTAGTAAATTAATTTAAGTTAATACATTTCCTAGAGATAAATTCCTGTAATAATTCCAAAATCACAAAATTATTTAATAGGAACAAGTTGAATATATATTCTACACACACATGCACATGCATGAACATAATGACTTGACACAGATTATATCTAAATATTTAAAATTACTTGTCCTGACTGACTGATTCATCATAACCCAGAGCAAACTGCTGAACCTAAAAAGCTGAAATTTGGTACACAGTTAGGGTATGTCATGAAAATGTACACTAAGAAGGGATTTTTCAATTCTCCTGTGGGGGAGAGGAAAAGCATTAAGGCTTAACCTGAAGAATGGCTTCTACTGTACTATTTTAAATGTGATTTTTTGTTTTCAACTACATTCAGTCTTTGTTGAGTACTTAGGTGTATTATATTTATAACAATGTCTGAAATGTTATCAATATAATACACCTATTAACCAAATGTTTGAACCATTTTAAATTTGAATTTGTTATTGCATATTGGTTTGATTATAGAATGATTGATCAATTTTCTGGAATGTTTACAAACTGAAAACAGTTCATTTGATTCTCAGCAATTCTCATCATTCTCAGTGGCAGGTGTTATATAACAATTATTATGATTGTTGAAATACTGAATATAAATGGTGTTTGCTTGCAAAATCCATGTGGGTGAAGTTGCAGGTAACAGCTAGTACTATATAAAACATCAAACTTTCAAAATAACACAAAATCAACATTTTACTGATTGCTATTTATTTGTATAATCAAATTGCATTTAACATCTTTCTTGAATCTTTCTTGCTCTTTTTATATGTATTTATTAGTGTGATGTATTTTTAAATGTGCATTAATTTATTCATTAAAACCCATCCGAAATAAAACATGATCAGAATTTTCTATTTTGATTAGTTTCCATTTTATAATAGGTTATATTTTTATTAATGCAGGAAAAATATGGAAATTGAAAAATGTTACAACTCCTATTTAGAAATGCTTCTTCTCCAACCTAAGTGTGTTATATTCCAAAGACATGTTCATAAAGACAAATTATACATGATGATACTGTTAAGTTTCAAAGTAATCTTTGAAATTTTGTTGAGGATAGTGACAAAAAACACATGCAGAAACACTTAATTACTAACAAAAATTTCTTTAATGAACAAAACAGTCACTACAAAACCCCAAGATATCAGCAAACCCAATAAAGTAACAACTAGAATTTGCATACATCCTGACCACCATAGCATATTATAACTAATTTATACAAAATTCCTAAAGATCAAATAAACTAAATTACAATAGGACTAATAATAACTGAATTACAACTATATCTATAATCCCAAAACCAAATATACAAAATATCTTGACAGTTGGTGACAGCACACTCTAAATATCAGGGTTGTAGGTTCTTTGGACTTTTGCTGAAACTCCTTATGTCCTTCCCTCAAAAAAAAAAGATTCTCCCCCTCTCTCTCTCAACCTGTTGACTCTCTCACTCAAACTCAGATATGTCTTCAATGATTAGTCTCTTAATTTTTCCTGAGTTCTTCCTGCTTCTGTCCTCATCAAAGGCTCACCCAAAGTGCTTCTCATCAGTTCAAGCTCTTTGAATATTATCTTCCCAGTGTCCAGACCAGTCCCCCCAACAGGGGTCCACACTTCAACATTGTACCACCAAGCTGGTCTGGACATGAATACAAACAATGTAGCCAAACAAAGGGTGGAAAGAACCACCCTTTGCTTTTTCTCTTCTTAGTTTCCATTTTATAATAGGGTGGGCAGAGAAAAATAAAACAAAAAGACAGACTTCCAAAATACAGAGAAAAGACCTGTGTAAAAACTCATTATCCAGAGAATATGTTCTAATAGTTACTTCTTATAATGTACCATTTATAAGTCAACACTTAATTCATCAATTAACAAATTTGACTAACATAGAACTTTTCAATTTTTATTTCACAATTGCTCATGTAAGAATAATTACTCTTAAAAATTAATTTTTGTTATTCCTCCTGTTAGTAATACAATACTGAATTTTGACTATTCTAAAAATTTTACTAGGTGGCACTGGTTTCATCTAATAGATTAGAAAAATAATTATCAATAATTTAAGGAATAATTTACAAATTATCCACTTTAATACATTTTTGCCATATTATTTTGATTGAAATTCTACTTCTGATTAAAGTGTTTATCATCAGGATTAATCATTTGAATTTCATTAATTCTTAATACAATTAATCTAGCTCATTTGCAATTAGGCAATAGTGTTTAATGGCTTTAGATTTTGGAAGTGGTTCTTAACACTAGTCCAACTTATATAAGGAGAATGGAAGCATTTCATCTTAAAATGTTTTATCATAATTGTTTGATAACTCTTATTTAAATCAAATTAATTTTATATTTAGTAACTACTTTTTATATTTTTATCACACATGACATTTTTTCCAAAATAGTAAATATTTTTTAAATATGTATTACTCCAAGAAAAATAATTTAACTCTTCTAGAGAGTTAGGGAAGAACAGTTGTGCAGGTATCCCTTGATAAACACAGTTAATTAATCCCTTGATGCTACCGTACATATCAAAATCACATTAATCAAATACTGTATCTATGTTAAGTAAAGACAGCTGGTAAAGCCACATTAGAGAGGTTGAGGCGCACGTTTTAAACGTGTAAACGTGTACGTGTGATGTTCGGCGCCGCTTTCACGTAAGCCTAAAAGTTTGACGATGGTGTTTGAAATGTCGAGCGTGATTCCACCGACTATCCAAACACCATTGTCAAACTTTTAGGCTTACGGGAAAGCGGCACCAAACGTCACACGTACACGTTTATACGTTTAAAACATGCGCCTCAACCTCTCTATTAATTAAAACTTCTGTTGCATATATAAAGGAATTGCCACAATTAATTTCATGCATTAATCAAATCCTACAGTAATTAAGCAAAACTGCATTAAGCAAGGGATATCTGTATCATATTGTCTGAAAAGTAGCTGTAAAGATGAAACTACAATCTTAACAAAGTAAAAAATAATTGATTGTAACTCTCATCACTGAGAAATCAAATATGATCCCAGCCTACTAGTCACAACATTAATTATTATTTAGAATTTGGTAAATCTGAATAAAGGTAGTTAATGCTGAAAAAGTTTACTTTACATAGGTTGTTATGCAATTGGTACCTAAAAAGTTATCCATTTCCACATTAAACAGAAGCATAATAAAATTTTACATAGCAATTATTACATTCTGAGATTTATTTTCTAATTTATAGAAGAAACTTGTTTAATCTGTAAAATTATATCAAAAACAAATGTTTTTGGACATCTTGGATGATAATTCTCAGGTTCTAGAAAAGAGATTATATTAATATATATAAATTACTTTGATAGGATAATAAATACCATATTTTTGCAGATTGATCGAAATGCCAATTTAAGTGAGGTTATATGTTTTTTCATGCACTTAAAGCCGGATTAAGCCACTTTGGGGCCCTAAACATTTTCTTCTTACCAGGCCCCCTCCCGGCTCTTTCAATTAATAAATCTTGTTAATATTATTTCTATTAAATCACATAAGGACACTGCAGCTGCTTAATAAAAAATAAAGCAAAATTATTTAACAATATTTCACAGGATGTTAAGAATACATATAGATATAGTTAATATTATTCTTATCGCTATAAAAAAAAATTCTAAATTATTGGGAGTTTTACTTTCAATAAGAAGAAACATAAGTACAATTTTCTTTAGATTTTAAAATTCACAATAACCATATAAAAGTAATATATTTTTGTTTATTTGTAGAAAAGCAAGCTATCTTATTTACAAATCTTTTAAAAATAGAGTTTGACCGGGCCCTTCTAAAATTCGGGCCCTAGACATTTGTCTCATTTGTCTATTCAATGATCCGGCCCTTCATGCACTCCACAGGGTGCATGAAAATATGAATGAGTTAGGTTGTGTGGTGTCTCACAGATACTAATTTTATTCTAAAATTATCAGCATCAGCTCAAAAACTATTATTAAATGTTTAATTTCTGCATTTTGTCTTCTTTCTAATGATATAATATACTGGAAAAAGGAGTGTTTCCATATAATTTGTTCTCAATAGCAACTTTATACTAAGTTCTAAAGAACATACAATATCAAATTTCAACTCTTAATTCTCTAAAGTTTCACTGATTGACATTTGTTTGTAATTGGAGATTAATAAATTGTTTTTCAAAGTAGGGTAGTAAAACTGTTACTTTCACAGCAGATTGTCAGTGCAGCCCACACCATTCTTGCTACTGTCAATAAATTGCTAATTGTTTTATCATCCTGTCAAGGATGATAAAACATGATAGGTTTATCACGGACCTGATATCCCAGAGTTCAGATCGGCACTCCCTTAATTTAGGAGGAGGCATCATTCAGGATGGCGAGAAAGTGTGAACAGCGTATGTGGTTGGTGGTGTTAGACAGAGAGACACAAACTCCATTCACAATTAACACCCATTTTTTGATATACAGTAATACCTCGACTTATGCAAACCTGGAGTTACGTGATTTTCAAATCTCGTCGATTCGTCTTTTGTTTGAGCACCACACAACTCTTGATTACTCACTCCCCCCACACTATTGTTCAGCTTACATGTTCAGACGTGTCGTGCAGAATCGACAAATAGCTACAATTTATTTTGTGTTATTTATTTCTGTGTTTGTTATATCTACGGAGACTTGAGAGACTCTATGTAGTGATTTCTTGTAACCATGAACAAATCAAAAGATGAGATAAGATTAATCAGAACATTTATTAGCTTACATACATCAGACTTGGATTTTACACAAATTGCGAAATTATACCCTGACTTACATGGTTATCGCTCGGTCTCACCTATCGCGTAAGCTTGGGGTATTACTGTACCAAAAAGCATCTTACACAAGACAGGAGATCTCCTTTGTGACTTAAATTAATCCAATGCG